GGCTAGGTCGACACTCAGAAGCCGGGCGAAGTCACTATTTGATGCCGGCTAGGTCAGGATTGCTGTACGGCTATTCACTGAAATCCTGTTCTATATTGCTGGCAGAAACGCGTCCCTTCCCACGACTCGCGTTCTGGTTCTCGCCTCAACTTCCAAACTTTTCTCTTGGCTGCCCCCGTCCTCTGCTTGAGGTTCTTGAAGCAATCGCAAGTCAGCTCTCTGCCATCGATGCCTATGCAAAAGTTCCGCGACGTCGCCCGAGGAGCTTGGCCAAGCTCCTCGGGCAACGGGCAATCCATCGCCATGGCGTCGTTCTTCCAGCTTCTGAGCGGTACTTTGGGCCTGCGGTTCGCCGAATCGGTCTTGGCGTCCTATCTCACAGAAAAACCTGCGCAAGCACGCATCGGAGGCGCCAGCTGCGATCGTGAACGAGAGCTCGACAGCGTTACCGAAGGAGCTATCGCAGCTATACGGAGTTTAGGCGTTTCCGGTCATGTATGCTGTTAATCTGAACCTAATGCTTGGGAACGGCGCTGAGGATCGCGTTCTTGGTCACTGGTGGGCGTACCGATAACGAATTGCACTCATCGCTGCACTTAATCAAGAACATCAGAATCGTAAAGATGTTGGTACCTGCTGCCCCTGCTATGGTGAAGACGGATACGGAGAAGGGCGCTGAGGCAGAGAGCCCATGAAAATTGACACACGGAAAATTCCATGTACGCGTCGCGTCGCGTCCCCCAAGCACTCCGAGACCTCAGGCTCCAGACAAGTAGCTCGCCGTTTCAACAATACCCACCTGTCGGACGTAGACTGTAATTTTTCGCTACAACACTCTCGAAACGGAGCCCTTGAAAATATTTACCGGACCGGCGATCTTTTCATTCAAATGAGTTTCATCCCTATCTCCCTGCCAACACCTCTTCCTTCCTTCAGCGACCTCTCCTCTCTCTTCACGCGCCGCCCCCTTCCGCACCAGTTATGCCCATCCCACCCACGATGCAACTTGAGGAGAAGGAGCTCTTTTTGCGCGTGCATCGCAAGCACGATCATGGTGCACTCACAAGTCGAGGATTCCTTTCATCTGCCGAGTCACCGCTCGCACTATCCCACCATGGGAGCGCCCGCTACCCTGGCTCATCGGGGCCGGAGCTCAAGCAGTCGGCATCTACCCACGTAACCCAATGGAAAAACTGCACCTGGGACCAGCCTTCCCCCTTCGTATCCATGGCGCGCAGCGTTCCCTATGTGTTGTTTGAATCCTGGAGGCGGAACCTTCTTCATTCAGCCAACCAACCCCACATCAGCATCATCGACACAGCCAAACTCATTCAGACGACTGATATTTGGCTTGCGACGGACCTTCTCGAAAACAAGTATCAGCAGGACGTCTTTTTCGCCTGCCGAGCAGAGGAGGTGCTGGCCTACTCTCGCATCCCCCTCGAAGCCGTTGTCGCCACTGTCCCTCTGAACAGCTTCTTCGACTGTCTTCCCCCCTGGTGCGAGGGAATTAAAGAAGATATCAGGGGCGACCGTTTGTGGTCGACCGCGGCGGTAGCGGATGCGCTCGAAAATCTGGTCCGACAACACTGTAATACAGCGGCGGCAGAAATAGAGCTGCGGGAGCATTCCGTGCGCAAGAGCCTCGAGATCTTGCGAGGAACTCTCCTTCCCCGCTGGATGGAAAGCTTCAACGAGACGAAACACGCCGACGCCATTGACCAGATTGCCGGATTTCCGTCCGTCTTTTGCTGGTGGCCGAAATGGATTGTGGGGAACGACGCTAGCAGGTACCCGGTGTTGTTGGAGGCGGTCCGAGGCCAAGTCGTTCAGAGGTTGCGCACGGAGAGGTCCTTGGCGAAAATGAGCGGGACCAGCCAGAAATCTGGTGTAGTACGGAGCCCGGCTGGGTCGTATCGTGTCGGCACCCCATATGCGCGGCCGGTGAAGCAGGAATCGCTTTGACACAATGTCATGTATACCATCGAATGTTTTCACATCTCATTTTTTGGGAATATATCGTCCCTTCCAATACCGATAGGACTCTGCGAAGAGATGAGAACGCTCGAAAGAACAATCACCGCCCGGAGCCGAAAAAGGGAATTCGTATATGAATTTTTGATAAATACAGGGAAAATACAGATCAACGAGTTACCCAATGAAGAACGCGCGCTCACCGAGACGCACGAGCCGCCAGAAAATCGTGCTGAAATATATTGATCGCACGTCCACATCACTTCCCGCGAGTCGCGTTCTGCCTCCTGCGTCAACCTTAACGAGCACAAACCTTCCTTGCGCACCTGCGACTGGCTAGCCTTCCTGACCATCCTCTTCTTGCGCTTCTCGGATGTCACTCGCAAGCACATAGCGTCTCTGTCATCGAGCTTATGCCCACGGATCCTCACCTGACGGATGCTAGACTCCAGTCTCAGTCGCTGGGCATTCGTCCTCTCGTCCTCTTAGCCTTTAATCTCTCCGCGGAAGTTTAACATTGCGAATTTTCCGTGTCGTGGTGTACTCCAGGTGTCTCAATTGGGTTTTTCTCACCAAGATCCTTCTTTCTCGCGACCTCCTGGTTATTTGCCTTGAGAACAACGTTTAGTCTCTTCTGTCGCACACATAATTAACGCTTCTACCATGCCCGCAATCTGTGAAAATGTAAGCGCGGAAGTAATCTGCACTCCGATTGTCCCGCGCGGAACGTCCGGGTGTCTCGATTTCTGCTCCCTCCGCTCTCATTCAAAACGTGGGATAAAAGACAGCCATGCTGTCCCGGCCCAGCGTTGCACTTGCTGTAATCAGTTTACGACTGCTCCGTTTACGACCACGACCATGAAGACCACGACTCTCTTTTACGCCCTTAACGCCCTCACGTTTGCGACGTTTGCTGTCGACGCCGCTCCCCGTGAATCTAACGCCCAACGTTTTGCTCGCGGTCTCCCACCGCTCCCTCCACGACGCCACTTTGGCCAACGTGAGCATTTGGTTTCATCTTTCTTTTGTTTTCAAAACCTTCTGATTTACTCTTCCCTCAGCAAAAGCCCGCGGGGCTACGACCTCCTCTACGCCCTTCAAATGCGAGACCAAGAAAAACTTCTGTTGCTCCCCCTTGCAATCCGTCAACGACCCAACTGCGGCGAACCTTCTTCGTACGCTTGGCATCTCCCAGAGCAGCTGCGGTGAGCAAATTGCCTCACACTGTGCCGCTGCTGCATCTGGTGACTCTTGGTGCACTTATTCCTGTCCTCCGGATCCTTCGAGCATCCATACTTACCTTCCGACGTCTAGCTCGCCTGATTCTCAGCTGGTTAAATGTTGCGGCAACCTTGCTGGTTCCAACGTTGGAATCGACTGCACTCGTGCGCAGAGCTCCACGACCGTGACCACCGCACACCCCACCTCGTCCTCCCCCCCTGCGCACACCACCACGTCCGCTCACCGTAGTGACTGCGACGACGAGAGCCACGGGCACAGGCGCGCGGCGCCCACCGTAGCTGCGCGGCGTGGGCATCCCCGCCAGATGGTCGTTGCTGCGGCGGCTTAGTTTCTAACACCCATCTTCGACTGGGGTTTCGGGTTCCTGCTGTGTTGCTTCAGGCTGCTGCTTTCGATTTCTTCACTGCGAATTGACTGTGTATGTACCATAGAGCAGAAGCATGTACGATAGACATGAACCAATCCACGCAATTGAGGGCGTGTTCAATTTTCGGCGCATCGGACGGTCTCGAAACTTTGAATTCACTCAATACTTGCAACTCATTCGCAACCCATGCAGCATCACAAACAGATTGGAAGTGACGACCACGGGACAGGTATGTACCTGCTGCGCGTCGAGCGGCGACATTGAATGTATCTAGATACAAACGGTATTTTACGACTCAGAGACGGCGACCACGGCGACCACCCTGCAAGCGCAAACATATATCAGCATCCACGCAATCCTGCTGAGAACGGGAAAACGCACCTTGCGACGGGTGCAATCGGTGGGGACGGGGGTAACGTCCTCAATGCGGCCGATGGACATGCCCGCGCGGGCGAGGGCGCGGAGGGCGCTCTGTCCACCGGGGCCGGGGGTCTTAGTGCCGGTTCCACCGGTGGCGCGGATTTTGATGTGCAGGGCGGTGATGCCGACTTCCTTGCAGCGCGCGGCGACGTCCTGGGCGGCCAACATGGCGGCGTAGGGGGAGGACTCGTCACGGTCGGCCTTGACTTTCATGCCACCGGTGACACGGGTGACGGTTTCCTGGCCCGACAAGTCGGTGACGTGCACGAAGGTGTCGTTGAAGGACGCGAAGATGTGCTGTGCGCGAGTGGGTTAGTTGTGCTTAAGATATCGAAAACAAGTGAGAAACATACAGCCACACCGAACACCAGCTGCCCAACGAATCCAGATTAGAATGGGAGATTGAATAGCAAAATGAAGGAGACGAACCGTTCCTTCCTAAAAGAACAAGTCAGTATGGACACAGGAAATATAGAAAAAAAGACACAGACCGGAACCTGGGGACCGAGGGACACGTTTTCCTCCTTGGGGGCCTTGACTTTCTTGGGCGGCTGGAGATGGGCGCGTCAGTTTTCGGAAAAGTGGGCGTCCTGAGCAGAAGAACGAAATTTGGACGGAAACGACATCCAATGTCAATTTCTCAATCCAGACCGTCCAGCACCAATTTTACCACCCGTATAACGATGCTGGACGGCCCATAGACACAACGTTCCTGCACAGAGAACAGAACGAACCATTGGCGGCGGGTTGGTGGTTGGAGAAGAAAAAGGACGAGGCTACTGAAAATTTGGCGGAGAAAAAGCGTGACCCGAGGTCACATCCGTTATGTCACAGATTCAGAAACCCGAGAATGCGACAGTGAGACACTTCGACCAATCCAGAGAAAAGGCTGTACGACAACAGAGTTGGACGACGCTCGCAAAACAGACAAAAAATTCAACGAAAAAAAATACAATAAAAAAAATACAATAAAAAAAACTTATCCCGTAAATCACTATGCATTAAGGGGGAATCGAACCCCCGGCGGGTCGAATCGACGAATCAATCCGTTGGCAACGACCCAGGTTACCACTACCCCATTAATGCGATACTAATAGGGTGCTAGCATCAATACATATCCATTTGTTATTAACCATCTCAACTCGAGTTTTGAAGCAAACGAAACGCATATAGCCGCGCATGCTGTCGCTATGATAAGTGGTGGAAGCCTTGAAGAAAAGGAACAAAGAGCCACATACGAGGAGACTTGTGGCCAGGAACACGCACACAAGAAGCAAGAAGTAATAAGAGCCGCCCTGAACAGCATTGCAACGTTGACATTCGAAGTAATATTTCAACCAGGGATTTGCTCGGGGTAACGGAGCAAAGTGGCCTTTGGTCCTGTCCGAGTCGGCGGCCTGACACCGAGGCAGCAGGCGACAAGATCAGGAGGACATTGACTCGATGGCGGGATATGGGAAACCGGGCTAATGAATACCGTGTCTTCAATCTGGCCAGCCAGTGAATGTATGCCAGTGTAGGACTTGGTGGCAGATATCGCAAAAAGGTATCGAAAGAATGTGTGGCAAATGAGATTTAGAATACACACACACACTGTTTGCCGATTACTCTGGGACTCAAATTTCCAAATTCTGAGCTGTCTCGTAGCTGCCCCGGCAGAAATCGTCAGTCGGAGGATGTTGAACGGGAAAGTAGTCTGCTTAGCACACATTGTGCGGGTTGGGAGTCCTAGGACGAGTGCTTCTTGATTCAGAAATCATTTCATGTAGCGCGGCTCATGTTGATGGAATGAATTGAGTTGGGATGCTGCCATTGTGGGCGCGTAGCCGACAAGTTTGAAGGAGAGGGAGCGGAGAATTCTAAGATGACTCGATTCAAGCTGAAGGAAAAGTCGCTGTCGGGTTGGACGCCGGGGTCAAGTTGAGGGTCATCCAATCGGGACGAAATACAGGGTGTTCTGCATCAAATGGTCCTTCGATATTTCGATGATAAATTGCACGCAGGAGCCGGGCGGTCCACTTAAGTAGCGAGCTGGAGAAGATTGGAAGGACTCGAGGATTCGCGGCCATGTGATCCGCGCGACTGCCGTCACCAGCTGCCGGGCGTCACCGAATCTTCGCGTCTTGCTGCCGCAGACCCCCCACTTCAAGATATGGATGCTGTGGCTATTTGACTTCGACTCTTCTCCCATGTTTCTGCCTGCTGCTATCGTTATTTTTCGATTTTCGTTCGAACTCCCTCGCGCTTTTTCAGAGAGGTTTCTTCGCGGATCTCGGGTGCGGATATGAAGACGGAATGACGCCGTAGTTCTGGACGGACGCACTGCCCTGAAAGGTGCGTAAAATTGATTTGACTTCGAAGAGGTCGACTTAAAATCCGGAAGTTGCCGTTCAACCTATAAAAGGCCAGCTGTCGATCCCGCTCTTCTCTATTTACTCCCACCATCTCCCACTCAAATCTTGTCTCCTTTTCATCGTATTCCTCTGCACAGTTCATGCTGCTTTCTCGCCAAGTCTCTGGCGCCGACACTGCTCTTCTGCACTCTCGCCGCGAGTCTCGCGGCGCGCCGTCTCGCTCAGTACCGTTTCCCGCCAAGGCTCAAAAGTCTGTTTTTCCTCTCTCATCGCCTTCCGACGCTGACGTTCTCAAGTTCTAGCGTGCTCGCCGTGGACGGAATTGCATCTTTTGATCTCAAGCCCTCGACGTCGATGCCTCTAGCTTCAAGCAAGACGCCTCAAGACATCAAGCATCTCTCAGGCAGATCCTCTGCCCTCTTCCATCTCGCTCTGTGGCGTTTCGACTATCTTCTCGTCAAGGCTGTTCCACGACTCTGAGGTATGTTCGCCCAAGCTAAAGTTCATTCTCGCCACGAGCAAAACCGGATCTTGTACTCGAGCTCTCTGAGAAACGTCGATGCCTCAAGACCTCAGTGGAACACTGCTCAAGCCTTCAAGACGCAAGAACGCTCCTCAAGACCTCAAGAACGCTCCTCAAGCCTTCGACACGCCGTTCACGTTTCTCGCTGTGTCATCTGGATCCGGACTCTGCTCTCGCCACTTATTTCCTGTCGGGCTCTCCTCTCTTGAATCTCGCCGTCTCTAGCGCTCTGATGTATACCGTGTCGCCCTTTCCATTGTTTCGACGCTGCTTTCTAAGAACTCTAGCTGGCACCTCAAGGCCCTCAAGACGCCGCCAAGAACTTGCGCTTCAAGACAACTCGAAAGCGCCTCAAGCACTGATGCCGCGTCAATATCTCGCGCCTCAAGACCTCAGTGGGATACTGCGCAAGACGCGTGTCAAGTCCTCGCGCCTCAAGACGCCTCAAGAGCGCTGCAAGAGCGCCTCAAGCTGTGTGGCAAGACCTCAGTACTAGTGGGAGACTGCTCAAGACGCGCGTCAAGATCTCGCCACTCAAGACACCTCAAGAGCGCCTCAAGAGCGCCTCAAGCTGCGCGCGAAGATTTCGCGCCTCAAAACCTCAGTGGGAGACTGCTCGAGATGCGCGCGAAGATTTCGCGCCTCAAGACGCCGCAAGAGCGCGTCAATATTTCGCGCCTCAAGATGTGAGTTAAGCCCTCGCGCCTCAATATATGGGGCGGGACTTTTTTTCGCCTCCTGTAGTTACAAGGTGCATCGCTTCCTTCTTTCTTTCGACTTAAGACGCGCGGACCTTCCTGGTGTAAGTATCAGGTGGGTCGTTTTCTTTCCCGGGGATGGGTGCGATCTCAATGGTCCATCCTCGTGCTCCCTTGCCGTGGGCCCCGGGCTTAGTACGCGCACATTTGGCTTTACCCACCACTTGCGCGCGGAAGCCAAATGCACGTTAAAAAATATATTTGCCTGTCCTTTCCTTCCTTCTCTTTTTACCTGGTCCTCTCATCTTCACTGCTCTCTACCCTCTATCCAGTAATTGAAGATAATCATTTTCTTTGCAACTCAACAACAAAGTGATTTCGAAAGCGAACTCGGAAGTGACTTGAATACGATTCTTGAGCCAGAATATTACACATTGGTATCTGCCCACGCGAGCCTCAATTATCGGGGCTACTCATTTTCAGTCGACTGACGCGAAGGTTCAATCCTTTCATAATCGCATTCCTCGTCGGAGGTCAAAACATGCACAAGTCGGGCTGCGTGAGGTGTCCAGCTCCGGCAACGTTGTGGAGATTGAATTGCTGCGAACTTGAGTAGTTTAATCATGACGAGGAATCGCCGCTACCAGAATTGTCCTCCGAGGCTAAGTTGAGGAAGTTGAACATTCAACCGTGGGAACAACCAAAGTCTTTTAATTTTCGTCGCGGGTGCACAGAAACTCTAAGAACCCGAAAGCTTCGAGCCAATTCCAGATGAGTCTGGTTGTGAGTCGTTTGTTTTTCAGACCATAGTAGACGTTAGGAAAATTTTCAAAATTCGTCTTGTAAGCCAATATCTGTCAACTTGAAGCGCCGAGGGAGAAGTTGGAGGCCGTGAGTCCTGGGTTAGCAACGGATAAGCGCCACATCCTGTGTTGAAACCTCTTTTTGAGAATGACATACAAGTTTTACACTCAAGCTGTGCTACACATTGCACATCCGGCCGTTCCGTCCGCCGTCGATGGATGTTCTTCCTCGGTCGTGAGGTGCACAGCGCTGGCTTTGGGCCCAAGCTATAATGCGCGGTCGCGCTTGAAGCGGAGGGGAGTCCTTTTGGGCTACTCGAGCTTGCTGAGAATGGAGGTTTGGAACAAGTTTGGAATAGGGCTCTAATCCGCATACGGGCCAAAAAATGATGGCTCCGTTTTTGAGCGCAATTCACCTCAAGAAATTAATCAACAACCCGTATCCGGTATCAATTAGTACCTAGTTTTTTTGGCCCCAGAGGGCTTCTGTGTTGGTCGCGTACAAGACAAGATACGGATCCCATATGCTTTTGCCCGTTTTTATCTTACGGGTCCTCAAATAGATCAATTTCCATCCTCATTTGGGAAGGTATCGCTCAAAACTGTACGGGACCCATAGAAATTATCCGCCCGCATCGATTGAGCATAGAATCATGCTAAACGGGGCAATTTTGACAGAGTTATACCGAAAAACGGGTGAAAAGGGTTAAGCGACGGGTCTACGGATCAGAGCCTAGTTTGGAAGCGATGAGGATCAAAACAGGATCAATTTTTGATGTCTCTCTCGACCTGCCACTACTCATTTCGGATATCGCTCGGATGCTGCTGCGCAGGAGCTTCAAAATGTCTTTGGCACCGCGACCAGTTTTACCTCGCTTGATTTTCATCTTCCCTCGCTATATCTTCATCTTCCCTCGCTATATCTTCATCCTCCCTCGCTATATTCTCGCTTCAAGAACCCCGTCCTCATACTTGGTCCGAGTATCGCGTCAATGATATTGGACCTCGAACCCGACTACCTTGAATCTAAGGCCTCTGTGCACTCACGGGAATCATCCGATGGATCGTTTTCTGACGCGCCACCGGCGTACGAACAGGGGATGTACATACCTGCGGACAGGAAAAGCCAGCTATTCATCAACAAAAATGTAGCCGTAGGGGGTTAGTAGCCCCTTTTTCGACGCGTTTCCTAAACTTACCGAAACACAGAGGACGGCCGCATTGACCTTGATTTCGATTCCAAGCTCGGGAGAGCCCTTGCGAGCATTGTTCCACTCCCACCACCCTACGTGCCGACATTCGACTATTTGGAACGGCGGGAATGGCATATCAAACTCAACATTGTCATCCAGGTTGTGGGTAGTCGCGGAGACGTACAACCCTTCATTGCGTTGGGGAATGAGTTACAGAAGCACGGACATCGCATACGACTCGCCACGCACAATGTGTTCGAAGACTTCGTCAAATCATCGGGGCTCGAGTTCTACCCGATTGGTGGAGACCCAGCAGAACTAATGGCGTTCATGGTCAAAAATCCGGGTCTCATACCTAGCATGAAAAGCGTGCGAGCGGGAGATATCCAGCGGAAACGCGCGATGGTCATGGAAATGCTCGACGGATGCTGGCAGAGCTGTGTGGAGCCAGATCTTGTCTCTAAACAACCCTTCGTCGCCGAAGCCATCATCGCGAACCCGCCGAGCTTCGCCCA